ATGTGCGTCACCTCAAAACCAATCACATAACACATAATCTGGGGTTTCATACCCTCAGGACCAAATTTAAAACTGTTACTTACCTCAAATCGCGTAATTTCTTATTTCGCTATGCCTTTTCCTCGTGAATTGGCCTCCAAACGTCTCGAATCTAGCCACAAATAATCCGATTCAGTCAATAAAAATTATAGAAATTAATTTCATAAGAAAATATTAATTTTCCATCAAAATCCGAAACTTAGCTCAAAAATCCCTGTGGGGACCACATCCCGGAACCCGATAAAAGTTATAAAATCCGAAAGCCCATTCAACCACGAGTCTAATCATACCAATTTTACCAAAATTCGACCTAAAGTCGACCTCCAAATTTTCAAATCTTATTTTCAAATTCCTAAGTTCAAATCCCCGATTTACACCTCAAAAACATGTAATCTAGTCAGATTATTCGATGATAATTCAATATTATTGACTAACAATGATCACAAGTGACTTACCTCAAGATTTCCCGTGATTTCTCGCTAAAAAATCGCCTCACCCGCTTTTGAAAATGTCAAAAATGACAAAAGTTTTAACATCCTGTCCAGGATTTTCGCACCTTCAACTAAATTTTCGCATCTACGGAGATGCATCTGCGGATCAAGATCCGCTTTTGCGGAAAAATCACCTAAGCACTGCCTCCGCTTCTGCGATCAAGAGACCGTATCTACGCTCATCGCAGGTGCAGAAATCACATCGCACCTGCGGTCCAAACTCACACTTGCGCCATGAAGTCTGCTTCTGCGACCATCGCAGGTGCGAGAATGCCATCGCACCTACGCCCTCCACCCAGCTCTTCCTTGGTTGCATCTGCGGCCTTTTTCTCGCACCTGCGGTACCCACTCCGCAGGTGCAGTTACACCAGTAGCAGCAACACTTCAGCTGCATTCTTCAACTCCAATCAAGCCGTTAACCACCCGAAATCATCCTGAGGCCCTCGGTACCTCAATCAAACATACCAACAAGTCTTATAACCGATACGAATTTAGTCGAGCCTTCAAATCACATCAAACAACGCTAAAAACACGAGTCACACATAGATTCAAGCCTAATGAACTTTGAAAATTTCAAATTCTACAACTAACGTCGAAACCTATCAAATCACGCCCGATTGACTTTAAATTTTACACACAAGTCACAAATAACATAACAGAGGTATTTTAATTTTCAGAATCGGATTCTGATCCCGATATCAAAAAGTCAACCCCCCGGTCAAACTATCCGAAAATTCGACTTTCTCCATTTCAAGCCTAATTCCTCTACGAACCTCTAAATAATTTTTCGGACACGCTCCTGAGTCCGAAATCACCATACGGAGCTATTGGAATCATCAGAATTAAATTCTGAGGTCGTTTACACATAAGTCAATATCCGATTAACTTTTTCTGACTTAAGTTTTCAACTAAGAGACTAAGTGTCTCATTTCACTCCGAAATCCTTGCGGCCCCGAACCAACTAACTCGGTAACTCATAAAATAACTGTAAAGCATAAATTGAGCAGTAAATGAGGGAACGAGGTTATAATACTCAAAACGACCGGCCGGGTCGTTACACATAATATGTTGGAAGCTCATACACATGTGCTCCAATCTCCAGTTTATTATGCTGGAATATTTTCCGGATTTTAAAAAGTGTTTTCTTTTAGATTTATCTTTACATAAAAAATGACTAAATTTCGATTAATTTTAAAATTGTGATTATTTTTTAACAGCTACTTATAAATTTGGCTATTTTTGAATTTTAGCCGTAGTACTAGCTTTTGTAAAAGGATTCGCAAAGTTCAAAAACAAGTCAGAAAAAAATTAATAGTTGGAGACATTTCACCCACATTTAATCAAATGGAATTATTTTTCTGTTTTCTCTATTGCTTTTATTGTTTCTACTTGAGCAACGAAATCTGAATCTTATAAACACACTCCTTTGAAGGATTAGAATTTTGGGAAAAGCAGCTCATGGGTCGATGATTGTGGTATACGACTATCTTTAAATGGGAAATATTATATTGTACAAAGATCAGTTTGTGGAAAAGACATAATTAGTATATATGTTAGAAAAAGAAATGAGGTGAACTCAGATTCGTTAGTTGTAGAGGACAAGTCGTGGGGGCCTGTACACATCATTCCTTGTTCTTTGTATAGTATACGGAAATATATGTAGGTATTAAAAATAAATTATCCTTGAGAATTCAGAGATAAAGTGCGAACGTCGTATTCTTGATTATATGCATACCGTTAGATAAAACTATAGACAATTGATTTTTTACATACACGGTAAAATGTGAACGCCGTATTCTTGATCATATATTATGTGTCTTTACCTATACTATTATCACTAAATCAATAAATGTCTAACTGCAATGATCGTGTTAAATTGTGTATCAGAGAATTGAGTGACTGATATATAGTAGGCATTTGAAAGTTGAAAGATGAATTTCACACTAAACTCAGATAAGATGATTTTGTGGGGTAGGCATTTGATTAAATGCAAAACCTACTCTCATGAATGTCAGTTTAACAACACAATCAACCAAATGAATTCTAAAAACAAGAATTTTACTGGGGAAAAAAACGTTCGAATAAATAAGAATATCGTAAAATTAATATTAACCAACAAATTTGCATGGTTATAACTTATAATCACGTGAAATGATTTGTAGAATACATTATTTTGGATCCAAAGCCTGGCTAATTTGTTTCTTACCTTCTTTTGCACAAGCAACCTCTTTTTAGCTTCTTCTACCTATATTACCTACTAACTTTTAAGAGTCCAAAACCTAAAATAAATCAAAAGTTTTTTTTAAAAAAAAAAAAAAAAAAAAAAAAAAACCTTACCTAAAAGATGACGATCTAGTGACGCATACTTCCACCTAACCCCGGGGGACCCAAACTGCTTGTCCAGAACAATTAATGCTTTCTTTTAGGAAGTTATCATTCACATAATTCATCTAGGCCTGTGATAAAGATAATTGGTCATTATTGGAAAAGTCGTCTCACGTAGGAAGAGATGCTAAACTAGAATTTGAAATTTGAGTCCTCTGAATTTGACGTCGAATTCACTGCATATTTTAATTACTGAGTTCATAATTATATATTAGTATAAATTTAATTGATTCTCTCGTATAAATATAGACTTTATGCAAAAGCTACGAGTTCGATCAAACCCGTAAATAATATGTTACCTCCGTTTCCTAGTAGGAAGACAGAAACAAATATCAAAAAGAAAGGAAAAAAACATTCACACTCTACGTACCTTTCTATAATTTCAAAATAAAAGTTGGTGAAAGGGAAAAATGGTTAGAGGAAAAATAAGATAGGAGAGAACAGAAACTATGTATTCGTAAGGAATTTAAAATTAAAATATATTAATTTTGTTTTACAAGTTATTTAAGAACTTTAGAAGACGAATAACAACAATGTTTTTTTTCTGTTTTAGTAATTTTCATAACATATGAACTAAATGCTCTTTTAAAAAGTTTTTAGGGAAAAGAAAAACGAAAAATTAAAGTGGTTGTATCAAGAAAGCAAAACATATGATCAGATTTTACGGCATATTTATAGGATTATTAACGATGGTTTACTCAGTTACAAGGTTCCCGAGAAATTAATTTTGAAAATATTAACAGAAAAAAGCCCAAATAAACACTTTTTTCTTTAAGATTTATTTATTTAGGCCTCGTTAGTTTGCATGGAGGTTTGAATCTTAATCATTCAGATCTCAGATATTGACTGCGTTTCTTTTTAAGTATAAATCTTAATTATTCAGATCTTAATCATTAAATTTTTTTAAACCACTGAATGAGTCTGAAATCTGAATAGGTCTTATTGATTACGATTTATAACAGAGACTTAATTTTATTAAGATGTTATCATCCATATTCACTACTAACCACCGCCATTATCACCTACCACCATGCACCATCCAACCAATACCAAACTCAACCACCACCAAATTCAAACACCATCACTAACCACCACTATCTCACTGCTATCATTATCGACTACCATCACCTCCAACCCCACCATTATCGATTACCATCACCCACCACCCCATAATTATCAACTAATACCACTACCATCAATCACAAACATCTATCCACTCACCTCAACTACTACCATCAACCCCCCCACCACCATAATCAACCATAGCTACCATTGTCCTCCACGCACCATCACCTTCCTCGACCATAACTACTACTACCCAATCACCACTAGTTATTACTTGGAACCATCACCAACCGCCGCCTCCAGTCGGGATCCATAAGCCTCACCGTCAACCATCACTACCCCCAACTATCATATTATTTTTCAAAAATATATTTATTATTAATAGAATATTAAATTAATTAATATTTTATTTGAATTTTTTATTTATTATTTTTAGATAATGATAAATTTTATACATTCAGATGTTGAAAATCAAACAGTCTTAATCATTTAGTATTCATATATTAATATATATCTTAAATAATCAGATGTCTATTCTGATTCAAACGTTTTAATCTTAATACACATCTTAATATTTACATGTCTCTTTATCTTTAAATAAACAAATGAGGCCTTAGCTGTCTTCACATAATTCTTTATTGCTGTGCTATTAATGAGTACGAATTAGTAATTCTCTTAACGAACAGTGAGTAGTTTGCTAAACTTTATATTCGTTTATTGTACGTATATTGTGTATTATAAGAATAAAAAAATATTTAGCACTTATTTGGTTAGTATTAATTTCCACGGACATTTTTAAAGCATATTTTCCAAGCTGTATCTATTTTTTTTTCCTTCCTCTCATCTCAAGATGCAAGTGTCATTTAATTTGTACAACATGTCGATTAATATAGTGATTACAATTATTACCTTACTGTTCACGTATAGGTTGGAAATATAATATAAGCATCTACTCAATCCAATTATAAAACTTGATGTCTATATCTTAGCTACTGAGCAAAAAATCAACTTTTGTAAATTCTAGAAGAAACGCCACCCAACCTCTGTCTTCCCCTTCTTTAAACTATATATATGTGGTGTTATTAACCAAACTGTACTAAAATAGCTCACCACTATTCCTTTCTCTTTCCCTTGAACTGTGTTTTCGTTTTTTCTGCTCTAAAACAATAGTGTGTTCCTTCTAGATTTTAAGTTTAAAGAACATCATGGGTGGCTTGGAAGTTGAGAAAACAACTATTGGTTGGGCTGCTAGAGACCCTTCTGGTGTACTTTCACCTTATACCTATACTCTCAGGTACATTACATTACTACTTATGTTCTTTCTATAATCGTAATATCCGAATCAGCTTATGCTTACCTCGACTACTTATTTTTATCTTATAATAACTATTCTACCAATTTTAAGATGAGTTATGAACTTTGTTTTTTGTTTTTCATGTCCAGAAACACAGGACCTGAAGATGTGGAAGTCAAAGTTTTGTATTGTGGGCTCTGCCACACTGATCTTCACCAAGTTAAAAATGATCTTGGCATGTCCAACTACCCTCTGGTTCCTGGGTATTTGCTCTTCCCTCTCTATTTTCCCTGTTTTTTCTCTCTCTCTATATATATATATAAAAGATAATTTGAGAGTTCAAGTTTTGTGGACAAAATGAGGATCACTATTGATCCCCTAAGGATGGAGGAAAATTGATTAATTAGAAGAGAAACAAGAGTTTGACAGTAATTTTTTCAAGGATAATTTAACTTGTTTTAGCATAGGTTGTTGCAGTATTCTTGAGATTACGAATTTCATTTATGATAAATACTTGTAAGTATATTTTAAGTGATCTGATAGCTAGAAATTCTTTACACGCTTTTAAATATATGAATGTTAAAATTCTCCTACAATGGTACCCTTTGAATCTTTGTTTGATGTCAATTTCAGTTTTTTCCTTAGCCACTGAATAAATCAAGAGAAATGTAGTGGTCCTTGTGCCTTTTAGTACCAATCCACCATCCTCGGTGACTTAATAAATTTGCAACTGTTAGTTGTTAGGATTTGATTTATTATTCCAAATGTCTTTTTTTCCTTCCTTTATTAAACGAATGATGAGTACTATTGAATTGTTTAATTAGGAGTTGTGGCAGACCACGTATTTTCGTGGCCTAAATGCCAAAGCAAACATATAATAACGTACGACTAAGTTCACTTCTTTCATTGGATTTGTAAAAGTTGTTGGTGACACTTACGTTTTGTTCGAATCCAATGCTATTATTGTTAGATAAATTTTTACTTTTAGTCCCTAAAATTATTGATAAGTTATAATTTTAATCCTTGTACTATTTGGCGAAGTACATTTAGTCTTCAATTTAATTAAAATTAGACATTTGATCCTGCTTCTGCTTGTGAATCTTCACAAAGTTAATCAATTATGAATTCATGAATTATGTTAAATTTGTGTTGTTACTCCCTATCTAAGGATACTAGAGTTCTAATTCATAAGTAGCGGTGGTAAAATAGATAAAAATAATAATTATCCATTCATTTTATCCACTAAAAAATAAATAACCAATGAATTTAACTTTTATATTTACAAACCCTTAATTGAGGGTTTCTCAAGTTTGAGATACTAAGAATTCTCTCAAAAGTAATCATATTGAAGAAGTTATGAATCATATGTATATCCATATTATCTGTCAATTAACCTATTTTTTATCCATATTAAATATAGATAAGGTTGAATATTATATTTATTAGACGCCCATTTGTCACCCCTATAATCACAATTGCAATATCCCTTTTGTTTTTTACTATGTGTTGATCCTTATCCCTTTGTAACTTCATATTTGTGGTGAATGATGTAGACATGAAGTGGTGGGAGAAGTGGTGGAGGTAGGACCAGATGTGTCAAAATTCAAAGTGGGGGACACAGTTGGAGTTGGATTACTCGTTGGAAGTTGCAGGAACTGCGGCCCTTGCAAGAGAGATATAGAGCAATATTGCAACAAGAAGATTTGGAACTGCAATGATGTCTACACTGATGGCAAACCCACCCAAGGTGGTTTTGCTAAATCCATGGTTGTTGATCAAAAGTAAGTCTTTTACCCTCCATATATATAGAGAAGTACCTTTCTTTAATATTAACTTATATGAAGTGACATTGTATATAAGTTACACCCTGTAAATTAAAGAAACTATCAGTATAACTTACCTGTCGTAATAGGTTGGTTGCCTTATTTTGAGGTAATTAGTTTTACTTATTGTGGACTGAGCTACAACTATTTAGATAATAGGATGGTATAAAACAATTTCTACACTATCATTGTGTTTGTTCAACTCTTTTTTAAATCCATTGGGTATCGAATCATGACAAATGTTACTAGGACGATCAAGAAATCATGTAGGGCAGCCCTGTACACTAAGCTCGCGCTATGCGCGGTGTCCGGGGAAAGTCCGGACCACAAAGGTATATTGTATGTAGTCTAACCCTGCATTTCTGCAAGAGGTTGCTCGAACCCGTATCCTCTTGGTCACATGGTAATAACTTAACCAGTTACGCCAAGGTTCCCCTTCAAGAAACCATATAATTAAAGTGGTTAATTCACATTTCTTGAATTAAAAGATCAACAATGGACTGAATGTTTATTTTTGCCTTGTATATAGGTTTGTGGTGAAAATTCCAGAGGGTATGGCACCAGAACAAGCAGCACCTCTATTATGTGCTGGTATAACAGTATACAGTCCATTGAACCATTTTGGTTTCAAACAGAGTGGATTAAGAGGAGGAATTTTGGGATTAGGAGGAGTGGGACACATGGGAGTGAAAATAGCAAAGGCAATGGGACATCATGTTACTGTCATTAGTTCTTCAAATAAGAAGAGACAAGAGGCATTGGAACATCTTGGTGCAGATGATTATCTTGTCAGTTCAGACACTGATAAAATGCAAGAGGCTTCTGATTCACTTGACTATATTATTGATACTGTCCCTGTTGGCCATCCTCTTGAACCTTATCTTTCTTTGCTTAAAATTGATGGCAAACTTATCTTGATGGGAGTTATCAACACCCCCTTGCAATTTATCTCCCCCATGGTTATGCTCGGTAAGTCATTTAACTTATTTACGCTGACAGTGTAACACGTTCGGACGAAATGCATTATTACAACAAGTTAAAATTGGTTTCTAACAATATATCGTGTTAGTACTTGCTCTAAAAAGTCGATTGAAAATTTAAACGTTGAATTTGTCTATATATGAAAAAAGATAGAACAAAAGGATTGGAAGAGTGGTCATTTTAGTCAATGAAAGCCATGATTTGTTGAAATATGCAGGTGCCATTGGTCTATTTTTGCGGCATAATAATGTTATGAGCAGAATTAATATATAGACAAATTCTAGGCTTGTAGGGTTGTGTTATTTAAGGAACCATGTCTGCAATAATGGACTGCAATAACAACAGAGACCATACACGTATTAAAGCCAATGTATTTGATTAACATTTGTTTAATGCAACCTCTTATTACTATTATGTTTTAAGATTTTTTAAGCACAGACAGTGTGTAAGTTTTTTTATACCATCAAGCAAAGTTGATATATTCCGAAAAGAAAAGTTGATGTACAATAATAGATAACATTTCATTAGTGTGGTATGGTAATTTGAAAAGTAGTACTCGGTATAATTTTTCATTTTACATTGTCGGCGTATATAACTTTTAGACTTTATTATTATGATCAGGGAGAAAGAGCATCACAGGAAGCTTTATTGGTAGCATGAAGGAAACAGAGGAAATGCTAGATTTCTGCAAAGAGAAAGGTGTGACTTCACAGATTGAGATAGTGAAAATGGATTATATCAACACTGCAATGGAGAGGTTGGAGAAAAATGATGTGAGGTACAGATTTGTGGTTGATGTTATTGGAAGCAAGCTTGACCAGTAATTATATTACACAAGAAAAACAACATGGAATGGTTCACTATTATACAAGGCTGTGAGAATACTAAACTTTGATGTCGTCTTTTGTATCCTTTTGTTTTATTTGCCACCTGTATTTTCTTATTTGGTGATCGAGAGTGACGTTTATGTATTATTTTCTTTCTTCAAAACAATTTAATGTATGAATTTGGATGTTGGTGACGATTTTGAAATATACCAACCAAAACTTTGTTTGGTACGTGAAAGCTATCTCCACTTCTCGTGACTAGGGGTGTCGATGGATCTTTTAAAATCGATTAAACCGACTGAATTGTACCGAACCGATTATGAGGTTTATTTTAATAAAATTGTATGTTTTTATATAAATTTTTAACCGTACCGAATAATAGGATATGTTTTTAATTTTATAAAAATAAACCGAAAAAATACTGAATCGTACCGAATAAATTTATATATGAAAATATATTTTTTATACTAAGTTTTAAACTAACAAAAAAGTTTTTTTCTTGGGTCTTGGAAATAGTTACAAGTGACCAATAATCAATATCCAAGGTGCCAACTTCCAAACTTATTCTACTACTCATATCGAAACAAAATTAGTTCTAACATTTTGAGTAGCAAGCCACTAAGTATTCCAGCGATCTTCAGTAGTAAGCCACAGTGCATTGGAATATCTTTCTGCTTGTATAATTTAGGTTTCTTTTGTTGGATACTAATCTTTTATTAGGCTCTATTTTTGAGTCTCAACTCAATTTATATATCCACTCGTATAATTTATAATTCTCATGTCTTTGCTTAATTTGTTTTACACTACCATAGAATAGTGGAATGAATCTCTATCCTTTGATCATCACTTTTAAAATAATAAAAATATCTAGCTAGAGAGTTTTACAAAATCCTATGCAAATACACATTATCGCATTCTAACTTTAACTAGAGACTCTTGCATGACATTTTTAAAAAATACCGAAAAATTAACCGTACCGATACCGAAGAGAAACCGAGATGATTGGGACGGTTTCGAAAAGTCTAATTTTGGTTAGATAAAATGAAATAACCGAAAATTTGGTATGGTATAATTTTTGTAAAATAATCGGCCGAACCGAACCATTGACACCTCTGCTCATGACCAGAGGAATTTTTATATTTTATAAGTGGCCGATCATAATTAAGATGATGTGGATTCTCAGAGTAGGTTTTGAAATATTCGCGTACATACAGCAAATATTTGCGTAGTGACTAAAGTAACCAAACAAATCTAAGAAGATGTCCTCCAGTTTCACCATTTGTTGGTATTTGGTAATAATAAAATATACACGCTGATTGCGTTCTAAATACGGTGGTAGGTGTTAGTTTTAGATTATATAAGAGTCGGGTCCGTGTCATCGTATGCTTTTGAGTTTTGAATTTTTAAAATTCTTATAATTGGGAGAAAGTCATCAAAGTCCTTTCATGTAACTGTATTGTGGTATACTTATCCTAATGAGTTTTAAGTTTGAATCAAGATGTAAAAACAAATTAATCAGTCTTTCTAGGTAAGAATGATGGGTAAGATACCGGGAATTAACGTATATATTTATGCTACGTGCACATTCATTGCCACAAAGGAATAATATGTTCAATAGTACAGAGTATCCATTGACTTGAAGTCCCTACTCTTGGCTATAATAGTCTTTTATGAGTTCTTTTTTAACTAGGATAGCTCATCAAGAACCTTTTCGACTAGCTGTATAGATAGATTTAGCTGAGGGGCGAACACATCTTGATCCAAACACAATAATAACAAACTCAGTGTAATCCCATAAAGTCGGATTTGGGGAGAGTAGAGTATACGCAGACCTTATCCCTACCTTGTGAATGTAGAGAAGTTGTTTCTGATAGACCTCTGGCTCAACGTAAACATTTTGATCCAAAATACAGAAAGACAAATGTTTCGTCCAATGTGAAACAAAAGCTAATAAGTCATGGACACCAGCAAATGGAAAATGTTATAACCGCAGAACAAGAAATCAAGAATAATGCTTCAGTCACCTCTATGATTCAACAAATCAGAAATAAAATTTACATCGAATGAACTCATCGGATGAAGTTTTATAGCTGAAGTACAAATCAGATATATTTCTCATTCATAACATCAAAATTACCTAACCAGAGATACTAAACAAGTGTTGCCAAATCACATTAACAATTAAAGCCTCTGCAAATGATCTCAACAATGTCCTATTCACGACATGTATGTCTGAAGGCATCTTTCATCCTAACATGTCCTCATCCAGTGTTAGTTTGAGTTCATAACACTTTGCTGAAGTAGATGTTCATGAAGTGTCTTGATGGATTGAAGCCAATTAAAATAACTATAAGCAAGAAACAAATTTTGTCACCTTATTAACCAATATGAACTCAACACAATCATGATTAATAAAAATACTTACAGATGGGTGAAAGGACGATCACAATGCCAATTGGATATAGGAAGAATGTTGTCCTCTCCAAAAAGGGTAATACTGCATAGGAGGAAAATAAGTTCATTACCCACATCGACTAGTTTAACAAACAGAAAGCACCAGCAGACGATCGTGCATTAAGTCTCTAAGTTTCACAAGAGTGTTTTAAGACCATGCTTATTATTTGTGTCAGAGTACCTACTACCTAGAATGAAACACATTATTTAACATTTGACTTCTATATTTATGATTTTATTCTGGAAACAGCTATACCTTGGGGAAGAAAAATTCACAGGTACAACAACATACACAGTATTATCCCACACCATGGGGTCTGGGGAGGGTAGTGTGTACGCAGACCTTACAACTACCTTGTGAGGATAGAGAGGTTGTTTCCAATAGACCATCAGCTCAGGAAAGTATAAGCACCACATTAATGAAAATATAGACAAGAAAAGACAGTACCAAAAAGCCATATAAAATCAGAATAAAAACAACAAGATAGTAAAGTAATCAACAATGAAAGAAAACAACGGTTAGTCATAAAAACCTACTACCAACAGAAAGCGAGACTGCGTGCCAATACTACTGTTATGAACACCCTAGACTACCTACTCTACTGCCCTAATCCTCGACCTCCATACCTTCTTATCAAGGGTCATGTCCTCGGTCAGCTGAAGTTGCGCCATAACTTGCCTAATCACCTCTCCCCACCTCTTCTTTGGCCTACATCTGCCTCTCTGTAGGCCCTCCAATGTCAACCTCTCACACCTCCTCACCGGGGCATCTGTGCTCCTCCTCCTCACATGACCAAACCACCTAAGCCGCGCTTCCCACATCTTGTTCTCAATAGGGGTCACACCCACCTTGTCGCGAATAACCTCATTTCTAATCGTATCTAGCCTGGTGTGCCCGCACATCCATCTCAACATTCTCATCTATGCTATCTTCATCTTCTGGACATGAGCGATCTTGACTGGCCAACACTCAGCCTCATACAACATCGTTGGTCTGACCACCACTCTGTAGAACTTACCTTTAAGTTTCGGTGGCACCTTCTTATCACACAAAACACCGAAAGCGAGTCTCCATTTCATCCATCTCGCCCCAATACGATGCGTGACATCTTCATCAATCTCCCCATCCCCCTGAATAATAGACCCAAGGTACTTAAAATTTGTGTACACAGGCAGTCAACAAATTTTAGCCACCGGAAATCTCTGCATAAAGAGTAACCAGAAAGATATGTGCTGTCTTTTCAGTACAAATAAATCTTAAATGCCTTAGCTGATCACCAGTGGAGATACTCCCATAAAACTTAAGACTAGAATATACAACAATCACCTCATGTTGGATTTTCACGAAATTCAAAAAGGAAAATATTCTTAGGGTATGGAATTTATCTTACCATCATAACCTAAAAAGTTGAGGTAATGATAGTAGGAAGCAGCAACCATGAAGAGCAAATTTGACAGCAAAACAGGAATGAAACCATGAGCTACCAAAACAGGGGAGAGAAAATAATGTATAACTGCGACAAAAAGGAAGCCATCAGTCTTCATAAATAAATAAAAAAGAAGGAAACCATCAGCAGCAGTCAAATATACTGTGTCTGAAGATGCACAAACAGCACGTTTCTCTTAACACTGCCCTTACCATACAGCAAAACAAACATAGGGAAGAAAGAGTTGCAGTGGACATCAAAGGCATATAACCTTCATGAGAGACAAGAAAGTGTGTAAGAAAGAAAGCTTTTAAATGAAAATGAAATTTCATTAACCCTAGATGTAGAGTTTCAGAATTCTGCATCCGGAGAAAGAGGTAGGTAGAATTAAATATCGAGTATATGAAGAGTTTGATATGGAAAGGTTCTGAACTTGCCATTCTACCCGTTGTTCCACGGCATGACTGCTTGGAGCTTCCTCTCGAAGATAATTGTTGGTTAGGAACCTGCAAGGAAAATGGTAGCTAAGATTATGCTGGAATACAATCTTTTTATCACCATAAATATTGCAAGCATAATGTCATGATACAACGAAAGATTTATGTTTTCACCATAAACATGGAAAGCTTGAAAGAGAAACAGAGGGAAAGTCTAGATAGCTGTTTCTCTTGCTTGGTTTTTGTTGAGAATGAGGAAAGAACATAAGGAAATCATTTTCTTGATGGCCCCAAAATTCCAATCCAACGAAAAAGAAAGTAGAACAATGTTCCATTTGTTTTTTATTTGCCACCCTAACTAAACAAAGTAAAAGATGATTTCCTTCACTTTCTCGTGTGTTTACTCTTTTTCTATCTTCTTCTCCTTTTTCTTCCATTCCTTCTTTTCATGCATATGTTATAGTCTACAGAATGTTTACATCAGAAATCATGATACAGTGGAAGATTTGGAGTCTAAAGAATGTTAAGAGAGAATGTCCATAAAACTACTCAGGCATCAGTTAATACAGGAACAGAGTGTAGCATAACCCTGCAACAAATTGTTCCAGGTGCTAATAATCATTGATTTTAAATCATCAATTAAAATCCAAGGTAGATATCTAGGTTGTACCTTCCCTATAATTAAGGTTAGCACTCTTTTGCTATGAAATTCATGTTTAGTAAAGCACAGTTAAAGAGAGCACAAGTGGATGTAGTTGTAGTGATAATCAGTTGACTACCAATGTATTCTCTTGATGAAGTTGATCACCTATTTATTTTATATGCTGAATCGTGAGAATTCCCCTGTTTGGAATGCAAGAAGTTTCTGATTCCTTTCTATAATTCCCCTCAGAAATTTGATTGCAAGTTTAACCAACTAA